CCTCCGCAGCTTCCAGTTGACCAAGTGAAGGTGCAGGGGAACGCTAAAACGACCTCGTCCGATCACAAAGTATGGCGCTGACCACCGAACCGAAACCGGAAGCACGCACGGCAGCCGAGAAAGCACTGACCTCGAAGTTCGAGTCACAGCTGGACGCGCGCGCATTGGTGCAGCAGCCACGACTGACCTCGTTTGCTTACCGACTGGCCTGAGTGTCACACCCTGCTTTAAACCTGCTTTGAGAACACGCGCTTTCAAAGCCGTCTTCCGCCACTACTACTGCACCCCCTGAAAGACGTCCGTTTCTGACCAAAGCCAGTTGACGTTTGACCTTGGTCGCGCGCCACTCGACGACCCTCTATAACTCAGTCGTAGTTTGCCAATCTATTAAAGGGAATACAGGTCACTTAGCGAATCGATCGGTTTCCTCGTTGATACAGGTTTTCATGGGTCGGAGGATTAGTTGCTCATGCATCGTTTATGTGGTTTCACAGTTCGTTGAATCGACGTCGGTACGTCGCTTGCAGTTTCTGGTCGCTGTCGATCAACCATTCCTTGCATCACAATTTTCGCCTTTGTTTCGAAACCATTCATAGGCATTTGACTGATCCAGAAAGTTCCTTTCCGCGCACTGGCTGCAGACGTGTAGGAGGACAGTGCTGGCCATGACAAGGCCTCCGTCAGCTAAACCTGCGAGCAGAGAGGAATATGACCCCTGCTGTAGCAGTGGACTCTTCCTAACATCAATCCCGAAGCATCATTTCTAATCGTCAGGCGTCATAAATCTGAGTTACCCCGCTGTTTAAGCTCCGCTAACCTCAAATGACGATCACAAAACAACTATAAGATTAAATTACTAATTAAATTAAATCATGGAAATAAAGAGTTAAAATTTCACGGCGCATTACGCCATTCCATTGCTCTTGGTTTCCTAAAGGTGGGGGAAGGCACTTTAAGCAGGCCACGGTTGCATGGTATTTGAGCACCTACAATGCCAGATTCACCAGCATTATCTTGTTCACTCGAGCCACCTCGTGCTCATTACGAAAAAAAAGTTTCACAAGCTATCGCATACGTCATGAGTTGTTCGTATGACCAAGTGCGTTGAGTGATGAATCATTTCTCCAAGAAAAGACTTCATGTCATATTGAACCACTCCGTTTCTCCCAGATGTTCACGGGGAGGGAGAGAGTATTTAAGCAAACTACGGCTTCATGGTCTTATAACACATGCACTATTGCCAGATGCATCTCGCGTTATGTTGTCCGCTAGAGCCACATGGCGTTCACCACGAACGATGACTCCTTCAAGTCCAGATTTTGCCATGAGAGCAAGGTAGTTCTAGAGAACAACATAATGCGATGCGAGATACTTCTGTCTGCAGAGCACGTGTCGAGATATCATGGAGCCGCTTAAATGGTTCCGCTAAGCGACTATAAGCAAAGAGGGGCGGTGAAATG